TCCTGTTCTCTAGGTACTGGAATGCCCCAGGACTCAGTTCTGGGAACTCTTCTCTAATTACACTCCCTTCTAAGGTGTCTTACACAGTTCCGTGATTATAAATACCATCTCTCCATTGGTAATTTCAATATTTATAAATCCAACCTGACCTGTCTCTTGAACTCCAAACTTCACCCAGTTCCCCACTTGACATCTCCAACTGAATATCCAATATGAACGTCAAACTTTGCATTTCCAAACACCAACTTTTCATTTCCACCCCCAACCCCTATCTACTTCTCTTCCTGTTCTCCCACCTCATGTATCAGTGCCTCCTTTCTGTTAGTTGCTTAGGTAAAAAATCTTGAGGTCATCTTTGATTCCCTTTTGCCTCTCAACCTATTTCCAGTTTGTGGCAAATTCTATTGTTTTTACCTTATAAATATATCCTAAATCTGACAACTTCTTCCTATCTCTAGTACAACTAACCTAGTCAAAATCACCACCATTATTTGGCTGGATGTCTCACTGATCTCCCCCTGCCGCCCCCGCCACCCTACCCCTCCACACTTGCTTCCCTACATAACATGTAAAGCAGGCCACTTTCCTTTTTGGGTCTCAACCCTAGATAACTTTCAACTCATTCAGGTGAAATATTAAATCCTTGTCAAGGTCCGGCATATCTTCTGGTCCTGCATGCAACGGGGACTTTATGTCTCTGGCTTAGCCCTTCCTACTGTTCCATCCCTTCACTGTACTGTAGCCAGGATGGCCTGCACATGCCCCTGTCTTTTCCCTCACCCTCAGTGTTCTCTCTATCTGGATGCTCTTTCCTAGCTTCTGGTATTGCTTACCTCTCTCTTTCTTCATGTTCCAAGTGTCACCCTTCCAGGAGGCTGTCACAGACTTTCCTTTATAAATGGCACCCACTCCTTGTCACTCTCAATCACTGACTTTGCTGAATTGGAATGTCTTGAGGGTGCAAAGTTTTCTCTGAATTTTAAGATAAATGTTTATGCTCAATTAATTAAACATTTGAAAACAACTTAGGCTTCATTGATTTGGGACCCTAAGTATTTAGGATAGTTAAAATTATACACACACACACATATATACACACACACACATATAAAATATGTCATCATTTAATTTTATGTATTTTTGCTAAATAAGTGAAACAAGATGTGAGGGGCTATTATGGTGGGGAGGAAAGGAAACTGAGATTTAGATTATCTGGATGCTAGTCTTAGGCCACCACCCAAGACTCTGCCTGAGGAGAGCTCCTCCCCCTGTCTTGAGTTTCTTCCTCTGTAAAATGAGAATGTTCAGTAATACTGCCAATGGGAAATCACCCCGATGCTCTGAGTCAGCACCACTTACAATGAACTCCGTTTTGTTCCATCCAATAAATATACGTCAAACATCTACCATGTCTCCTGGGTACCATGTTAATGACAATGAGAAACAAAAGGTACTACTTGTTCTCATATTATAGCTCATAGGGAAGAGAAAACATTGCATATTAAAATTAAAATCAATATAATGCTTTAAGGAAATTATAAAGTGTAATTTTGTACTCTACCCTCATCTTTAGATGAGGAGACTGAATTGATGTTCAGGGAAGTGAAGTGACTTGTGTAAGAACAACAGTTAAATAGTAGAGTCAGAGCTTTCCAAACAGGCCAACAACCTTGACAACTCCAAAGACAGAATTCAGTCTCTTTCCTCAATATTAGCTACTTAAAAAAAAATCAGTATGGGTTCCAGAGATAAATATTTCTTTTTTATTTTGATAACCTTTTAGAAGCAGCATGAGAGCCCTTATTGGGAGATGATCCTTATATTCTGGCAACTTGATAGTTTATCTATATCAATATGCAAAAGCAGGCAAGACTTAAATGCCTAAAGATGAATAGCTTGTCCACCTGTGTACACAGTCCAGTGTTTAGACAGGATGAGCTGTGATTAATTTAAACCATTAAATTAATGACTTAAGTCCACCACTCCACCCGTCCCATAAGAAAAGACAACGAAATTCACAACGGGCACCGGAAATAGCCCCCTATGAAATAGTCATAGTTAATGCCTGGGTCGACATTATCCACCTTTGGTTTAATTGATAAAGACTATAAGAGAGAAAGCTACAGGAGTTTCAACACACCCATCCTAACTATGAACTAATTTCTCCCAGGCAATCAGGGAATCCTTTTCTAATGAGTTCAGTTCCTTGAACTTGACCTTGCTAAGAGACTGTAGAACAGAGAAGAAAATCACTGCCAGAATAAAAGAGAATGCTTTTATTTTTGGCCAGACTCTGATCAGCAGAGAAATGAGATAGTGAATCCTGTTGAGTGAGTGCCCCCTGAGGAGCCTTCCCTCCACCTACAGCTGCAGGAAGAAGGAGTAGCCACGTGGAGCAGCGGGACTGCTGGAGGCTCAGCAAGTCTGGTTTCCTGTCAATAATGTCACCACATTGTAAAAGTCCAATATGTCTTAGCTAAAAGGGACCTGTGTCACCACGTGTCAACCCCTTCGCTTCATAAATATATTCTCAAGTTTAAAAAGTACTGGCCCCAGCACGATCACAGTGATATGTAAGGTAGGACAGGCACCAGTATTTCCATTTCAAATGAGAACATGAGCTCAGATGTTCAATGACTCACCCAATGTCATATGCAGATAATCTGTCTGGAGGAAGAAGCCTGAATCAAACTTGTGTCTTCTGAGTCCAGTAACTAACTGGCCTTTGCTAATCTTACAAAGCAGGGCCTGAAGCTCGTCAAGGCAACGTAACTGCCACGGTCACCTAGGGAATGAGCAGGCAGGCCTCTGGTTATTTAGCAACGCCCAGGGGAGAGGTCCTTGCTCATTGCATGGACACGTATCTCCCAGGGCAGCATCCTGCTTCCTTCCTTCTTCTCCCCTGAATATCTCAGGGACTTGCCCACCTGCCCTTTTCTATTACTATCACCTATTTTCTCACTTGGAGCTCACTGAAGGGCGTGGCCACAGAATCCTGGCAGGCACACCCCCCCTTCTTCCCTTGACCCTAAGAACCAGGAAACTTTCAGTTTTGTGGGCTTTTGTCTTCAAATTTAATAACCATAGGAAAAATAAGTTAATGATGTACTAAAGTTTCTGCGTATTAGAAAAATTTTAAATACTAATAATCATTTTCCTAGGATAATAACTCAAAGTGCTTAACGTAGCCTCAGCGTGGTTATAGTTACACTTGGCCATTCGGCTAATTAGAAGCAGACCCAGACTGCAGACTCCTTGCATTGTGCTCTGCCTCTTGAAGTCGCTTCACTGAGGTGATGCTTGAATTGAATAGCAGAGGTAACAGAGGTCATGAACTTGGGGGCAAAGGGTGTGAAGCTAACAGGATGGGGCAAATCACAGCTTATCAGTGCTTCAGGGAGGGTCATCCAGGGAGGGTTCCTACATGGCTGCTGAGGAATGTAGGGCTCAGACAGAATGTACATATTGCTTGGCTCCGTGACAGGAAAGAAAAAAGAAGCTAAAAGATTTATTTGGTTGAAGAAGAAAAGATTGATGAGAGAAACGAACAGAAACTGTTCCCTGTGCTCCCTGCTCTGCCAGTAGGGTCCAAACCTTTTTTTCCTTTGGGTCCGGAGTTGATGGGAAGAGAGGAAGATCTGGGGAATCAGTCCAGAAGGTGTTGGAGGCCTGGGGGAAAAGGTGACTTCCTTAGCTTTGGCCTGCTTCTGGACTGACCCAAGACTAGTGAAGAAATTGCCTGACTCCCAACCACACTCTCCTCTCTGCCCCCCCTGAGCACAACCCCCACACCCACACATTTATCCCCATCTCTGTCCCAGACTGCTGCAGAACGCAGTGATTTCATGTCCCCCTAAGCTTCTCCCCGACAAGCCTTTCCAACACTCCCCCACAGAAGGCCGGACACCCTGCCGCCCCCCAGGCGGGCCATGTGGAGTCTGTCTTTTTCCTCCCATCTCTTTACACTTGTGTATTTGGTCTTTGACGCAGGGGCTGACCCCACATGTTATATTACCCTGTGCCGAGCACATTCTGCGGGACAGTGACTTGCAACACACGCTTCATCTCCTGTTCTTTCTATTACAGGGCTTGATGCAGAAGATGAATGTTTATAACATGACACAAGGAATTCCAGCCTCCCCTAGAAAACTGTGGAGGAGAGAATCCTAATGGACAAAGAATGCTGTCTTCTGGGCTCCGGCCAAATGTTTGGACTTCTTTTAAAATGCCTCTACGCTCCCCTCATTTAGTGTAAACTCACTGCTTTGCCATAGTCTCTACTTGGTTCTGAAAGTACCAAGCAAGGTACTTTGACAAGCAAGATATGGTGACAAGCAAGGGAACATCTCATTTGTTTTCACGGAGAAACAAGTGGCAATTGCAGTGACGATGTGTTAATTTTAAATTAAATGACTTCTCTACTAAGAACCTTAAAAGGCCCTATAATTCTCCTCTCCTGCATTGCACTGGGGCTAGGGGTGGGGAGCGAATCTGAAAGACGGATCAGATTGAAAGGCTGGGGGTACCCAGTGAAAGAGCAACTTATGTCAGTAGAAAACAGCTCAGCCCTGTCTGTCCCCTGTGGGTCCTGCGGAGGTGGTTTGGTGTGATAGGACCTCCGAAGATTGTCAGTCCCGGTCCAATCACCTGGAGAAGTGACATAACCAGTCTGAACCTCAGTTTCCTTATCTGCAAATGAGAATAATAATGATGATAGCCTTGGGGCTACTGCAAGGAAAACAGTAATTATATAAAAACCCTCCCGCTGTGTTTTCCTTTGACAGATTTCTTGCCATCATTATGACCCCAGGGGAGGAGAAGGGCCTTATGTAAGAGAATCTCTATCAGGTAGGAAGGGGAATTAAAACTCCAGAAAGGAGTCTTAAGAAAATAATTTTAAGGGAATCCTAAAGAACAGAGCGTTCCCTGGGAAGATTGAGAAAAGGTTAAGTCCCTTTAAAGAATTCCTGCATTTAACATGATATCTTTTTTTTTTTACCCAGGGAAGAGCATGGACACAACTCCTCACTACCACAAATTATACAACTGAGTTTCCCACATTTGGGGAACCTCAGGGGCCAGCATACCCAAAATGCAACAGGTTGAGCCTCGCCCTGGGGAGACCACCTTCTTGATCATGGTCCTCTTCCTGCCACGAGAGTTAAACAAGACATCTTTTAAGTAATGAACTAGAAAAGGCAAAATGCTGGCATAATAATCAGGGATAGGGCACAGATTTTCTCCAAAAAATGAAGTTAACTTGCAATCCATGTGAATTCATAGGTTTTCCAGGGCCTAGAGAAGATTTCTCCAATCTCAAATAAAGTGTCCCATAGGGAAAAAGAACCTCATTCAATAGCTACGGAGTAGACCCAGTCTAGGTGTGGGGGAGAGAGAAAGCCACGCCTCTGTGGTATCAGAAAGCTATGTAATGGTGTCTGGTTAGTTCAAAGACCAATGAGCATGCTGCACGATAGAGTGAGCATTAGATGTCACCCATACCCCTAACCAGACCATCTGAGGGGACCAGAGCTGGAGCCAGCAACAAACAACGTGTTTCATTAACCATGACGTTTAGCCACAGCTATTTAGACAGGTGTCCAGGGTATAGATCCGGCTAAACACATTGGTCAGATACCCAGCTGGGAGACCCCCTTTCCCATCACTATGAAGACATGAAGCTTCCTTCTTCAGTCAGATACAACCCTGGCTGGGGGAGGTAGGCAGCCTAACTAATTAATCATTTTCTTAAAGATACCTAAGTTATTGGAAAGGACAAATTTTTAAGAGTCTGTTTGAATCCAAATACCCCTATAAATGGAAAATTCTCCCTCCCCTGTCCACTGCTGACCTGCTGGCCCAGTAGAATGGGGACTTATAAGGATTAGTTACAGAGAAATAGAAAGGCTATTTTTATATTTTATTTTATTTTAAAACTTTACTCTGAATTTAATAGCACCTCAGATAGGAAACACACAATATATATGAGTCCCCTTAAGAATAACTAAAAGTATCAAATTGGGCGGAATCCCTCAAAATGAAAAGTTAACTAAACTTTTTATTTAGTTATTTCTTAACTAAAGTTACCTTGAAATGAGCTGATCATTCCCGGTCCATTAAATGCAACTAACACCGATTAGGAAGAAGCCTGGTCAATCCTCAGGGTTCCTCCAGGTTCCTTGGGGGATGGAGGGAAACTTGGCAGCAATAGTGTGATACCAGTGTGTTTACTTTCTCTTCAGATCAAAGTTGTTGAAAGTTTTAAACACTTTAGGGCCAAAGTCAGCAATTTAAAACCGAATTTTGACCCACTCCACCTAAAAATTCATTATGAAAGTGGAAACATGGAAGCGATAATATCCCATGACACTCTGAAGTGACCAGGGAGCGGCTTAACTGATGGTTTTTAATTTTTTTCCCCAAAAGGAAATATTATAGGGAAGCCCAATACATACAACAGCTAAAGGTCAGCAGCTCGGGGTGAAACAGAGGGCAGACCCGAGCCACGCCCTCTGCTCTCGCTCTTTCTGCCCCTCCCACACACCCCGGACATCTCCTCGGAACCACAGGCCTGCAGAGTGTGATTTGAAAATCACTGCAGATATGCAGAATGTGAGCAAGCAAACTCCAAGGGAAGAAATATTACTAAGGGCTCCTGTAAGTGTGATGCTTGTATTTTGGGGAGTTATGAGTCATCGACCAAACAAGAACTTACTGCCATTTCTTCCAGGGCATTTAACCCCGGAACGCTGTGCGCACAGATTTACTGCACAGCCACAGCGGCCATTCTACATTACGTTTGCATTACACTCTAACTACATTGAGTAATTACCATCCCTTTGCTTTGGCTCTAGTTAAATATTCAAATTAGACACATTTTTTATTGACCCAGACATCGTGCTAGACTTAACAGGATTTACTAAAATGTTCAGAATGCTGATGTATCTCAGGGAACTCCCAATACAGAGAGAATGAAAAGACGTAAATCTTTATAAAGGGAAATAGTAATTCAAATTCGGTAACAATTCTGGGCAAGTGAAGAGATCTTGCAGGACAATATGTGATTAAAGGCCAAATCCATGGTCCAGAAAATAATTGCCATAAAGACTCAATACTAATTTTGCCTTGTATCACAACTGCATCCTGATTTCAGTATCGAGGAAAATGAAGGTCAGGGTTTGCTCTATTTGGCCCGGTGCTAACTTAGATCTTGGTATCTCACTTGTAGAGCAGCAGGGCCCGGAGGGCGCAACGGGACTTGGATGTGGAATCATGTTCCGTGAAGAAGCCTTGATGGAGGTGCTGCTGCTTTGCCTGCAGGGAGCAGGATGTTATCCTTACTTCCGAAGGGATGTTCGTGAAAAAGAACATGGCCAGTCTCCCTACAGCGCTTCTTCCCTTCCATCCTTCCTAGTCACCTCTCCCGTAGGGCTGGCACCAGGGGGTGCCATTTACACAGATTACAAAGTAAAGGGTGTCCCTTGGATCTGTACAATGCAGTGGCCCAGCTACTGTCGTCACGAAAAGGGATTCAGTGTGTAACATATGGATCCAAAAGGCAGATTAAAATAAAAGGACCAGAAGACAAGGGGAATTAATTTCGGTTCCAGATAAGCACATTTTTAACATTGGGGGAAGATAGGTGGAGGTATTTGGAAAAGGGTCAAATAGAAGGAGTTCATGCTTATAACATTAATAATAATAAATTAATTATGCCTTTATGATGTGACATTTTACTTTTTCACGAGTAGTCTCCTCTTTTTTAAGATTATTTATTTATTTTTATAGAGAGGGGGAGGAAGGGAGAAAGAGAGGGAGAGAAACATTGATCGGTTGCCTTTCACACACCCCCAGATGGGGACCTGGCCCGCAACCCAGGCCTGCGCCCCAGCCAGCAATCGAACTGGCAGCCTTTTGGTTCACATGCTGGTACCCAATCACTGAGCTACAGCAGCCAGGACTCCTTCTTAATCAACACTATGATCCCCCCAGGTAGGAACTATAGTTATCTTTATATTATAGATAAAGAAACTATAACTTGGACAAATGGCTTTCTTTTCCTTAAGGTCTCACAGAAAACCATAAAACAGCAGGTACTTGAGCTCAGGTGTCTCCGATTTCAGAATGCAAACTCTCAACCATTATGCCACATTGATTCTCAACCATAAATTACAGAATCCCGTCTTTCTTGTGTATTCATTTGCTCAATTGCAGCTAAACGTGATCCACAAATAAAATTAGATTTTGACCTTGTACATCAAAGACTAAAATCATTTCTGTGGAACAAAGGTAGGTGAGCTGGATTTGCCTGGCTCTCACTGCTCACTGATACGCATATCTGGGACTCAGGGGTGAACCCGCACACCTGGGCTCCAGATGGGGAGAGCTGTCTCACACACAGCATATGCCGCCAGATGCAGCTCCATCACTCCAGGCACCCAGTGCACAAAAGATGTGCAAAGGCTTATGCTGGATATTTTCATTTTGTCATTTCCCAAATGTACTCTCCAAAAATAATACCTTAGGGAGGCAAGATGTGGCCTTGTAGGATATTTCTGAGCTGCTGGTAGGGCTGATGGGAGAGGAAGGCAGCCGAGCCCATCGGAGCACACGCAATGCCCATGATCACTTTGGAAACACTGAGATGAAAGGGAGAGACAAAACCCTGAGCCGTCTGCACATCCGACAGCTGCAGCGCTCCCATAGCTAGTGCTGTGTCTGCCGTGAAGACCACGGGGAGGCCCTCACCAAGGCTCTGTTAGTGCTAAAACAGATGTTCCTTCAGCACGCTCATCTTAGGTGGCCACTTTCACGGGATGGAAAAAGATAATCTAAACCTTCCTGTTCTTGCCAAAATAACCATGTGTAGGTCTTTGTTCTGCAAGTCTTCGGAACACACAGATAGATTTCCAAGCAGTGGGAACCTCCTGTCCCATTCGGTCTTTGGACAGACTCCTTTTCTGCCCATTACACCCCAGTTTCCTGAAACTCTGCCTGGAGGGATCCTGTGGCTGGAGCCTGTGGGAGTCTCTTTTGTAAGGACAGTTCTCACAGCCAAAGCCTTCAAGGTGAGGGACATGGGAATTCAAGCCAATGAGACCAGTGACGAGTATTGCCTTGGCTCCCCCAGCTGAAAGGTTGCCCTTATGAAGGTCTGCTTGCCTCATCCAGCTCCTTTCCAGGGAAGAAGGTGGTAGCATCACTGCGTGGGGGCTGCAGTTGGCACTGACTGGCTGGGGGAGGATGGCAGAGGACTGACTTGTGGCTGATTCAAATGCTTGGGGATTCTTTTCCTTCTTAAGTTGATAGAGAAACAAGCTGTAGAGCAAGAAAACTTATCCTCCAAACCAATCTGAACATGGAAGCCAAAAATTAATATTCAGACCTTTTTTCCCCTTTCTCAATGAATTTGGGGCATTTGCAGCAGAGAGAGAAAAGGAGAAGTTAGACCGTCGTTTAGAGAGCAGTGAGAATGTAGAAAGAGAAGTAGACTTGGAGCAAGAACACTCAAATTTGGGCCTCGTCTCTGAGCCTGTGTGGCCCTAAGCAAATAGCCTTTCAGCTCTAAGAGCTGAGTGTGTAAGGTCCCTTTAGCTATAAGATTAAGACCTAGGAGTTCTTGGTTATATAAAGAGAATCCTTGCAAGGCCATAAGTATGTCCATAGTTTAGAACTATTTATTAGGGAATCAGCATGTGGCTTTCTGAAGACAAGAGCAGGACGTCATGGTCCATAAAGGCTAGATAGCTGTGACACGGGCCAACAGCTACACAAGTGAGAGACTAAAAATTCAACTAATTTGTACTGTGAATTAATAATGAAAATATTAAGAATTTAATAAACCAGAAAAAAAAGTTTGTACCGTGGGACCATGAGTGAAAGGGGGTCCGTGGAACTGCATTTTCTGATAGGGGAAAAGAAACCCAACTCCTGGCTTTAGTGTGGTACTTTCTATGTCAATTGCTCAAGAGGCTAAAACACACAGGGACCCCCCAGCCTAGGGCACACCCCAAATGACCGCATGGTAGAGCTGTGTTTCACTGTCACTGGCAATAGGCATGAAGGGGTGATGGATTAAACAGAAGGAGCCCTTCCAAGGTTACCTGTGATAAGTGCTGAAAACCAAGCTGCACAGCTATCCTCACGGGAGTGCGTTTCCTTTTA